CAGGTGCCTTGAAGGCAGGCGGAGGGGGAACCAGGAACCGGCTTGTGCCCAGAGGGAAACAGTTAAGCTGCTGACCCTGTGGCTGGCCTTGCAGGCCAGGGAGTGCAGCTGCAAGCACGGGAGTGACAGGAGCCGCAGAGCCAGAGCAGACAGCTGAGGTAAAGGCAGACAGCGTAAGAGAGCTGCTGCTGAGAGAGCTGCTGAATAAAATTACATTTCACCTGCTTACAGCCCCCTGAGAGTTCTTTCAGCTATTCGCCCATCCACCCACTTGCCTCGGACCTCAGCTGGGGCTGGAACCCAACCCCAAGCAGGACATTTGGTGTAGTCGTGGCCTTGGACCTGACACTATTGAAATATTAGGTCAGAACACAGAATATTGGCAATATTTGACCACTTTTGACCTACAAAAACAGCAGTTCCATATGGTTCAATCTATTATTAACAAGTGAAATAATGTGATATCTAGAATTCTTTTAAAATATTTCTGGGGGAAAATGGGGTGGAGGGGTGGATAGATGAAATAGGATTGTCAAAATATTGACAATAGCGGGTCTGAGTGATGAGGCTGTTGGGATTCATCATGCTCTTCTCTCTCTCTGCTTGTGTTTGCTTGAAACTTTCCATAAGCTTTGTTTGGTATTCAACTGTGAATTATGACTACGAGGTAGTTTTTAGGACCACAAATGAACTTTAATTTAATCTTGTGTAAATACACAAAAAGGAGAGATTGAATGGGGCTGTGTAAATGAACCTAAGGGCAGGTGGAGCTGGTGTCAGCAATGATTGATTGACTGCCTTGAACATCTCGAGGACCCCCTCTGTCATTCTCTATCTCTTCCCTGTTCCTTTTGGAACATTAATTCGCTGATACAAACTTGTCCAAGTGGTGGGGTATGGACACAGAGACAGCTGTGCTGGGCTAGCAAGCCCACATCCTTATGTTCTGTCATTTAAAAAACAAAAAGGAACAAGAGATTCTTATTCTCTGGCAGGAATTTAAAAAGTCCCAAGAGCCCTGATTAGCCCCCTCCTTTAGATCAGGTGCCCACTCCTTACACCAATTAGCGTGGCCGTGGCTGTGAGAGGCTGTAATTGGCCCAGCTTGGGTCACCTGACCACCTCAGGGCGGGAAGGGGGCTGTTTGTGCTCTGAAGATTCTGGCATGGAAGAAGGGTTGAGCGGACAGAAACAGTAGCCACTCTTATCAGGTTTCTGGTTCTTTGCACTAGCTATTAGATTACAAGAAGTCAGATCACAGATCAGGTCTTTTTCCTTGCCAGTTAATTATTTGTTTTCCCAGTTTTTATTTCAAAGTTTAAAGACGTGGTTGCAAGGCTTGTTGCAAAACAGAATCAGCATTCCTGCTTTCCTTTCCTCGGAGGTGACTAGTTGTAACTCTCTGAAGTGGTTCTTTTGGTTTTGCTTCCACAAATTGGAGTGACATCTTTCTATTCCTCTATTTGGTTTTTCAGTTACAGGTATTGTCTACCTAGTCCCATCATTGAGATGATTTTGATGTCTTTCATACCCACCCACGCTCCCTACCCAACATATTCGTCCTTTCTATCCCCTCATGTTCCCTGTAAATTATATCAGTAGCATTGATTACGTCAATATTTAACATTTACACGATCCTGACCATGTAAACTTTATCTCTAGCTGAGCTACACCTGCACCACTTTGTATTCTCCTTAGAGTTCATAGTTTTTTTCCCATGGAAAATTTTTCTTAGCTGGATAGAGGCCGTCTCACCAGCATACATCTTTGTTTTATAGAATTACACGTAGGTCTGAACTCGAGATTTCACCCCCATGATTTCAGGTTACTCACACCCTCCAAAATTCATTTCTTTTTCATTGTATTTTATAAAATAGTTCCAAGTATGGCAGCAATGTGGTTGAAAACAATTTTAGGAGGACCTATAGTTATAGAAATGCATCAACTTTGGTCATTATTTTAAAAATATAGATAGCTACCTCTTCAACAATGTAGAGAAAGCATATAAAACAGCATATAAAATATTTCTGAACTTCTAACTATCGTGTCTTAGGATCAAGAGGTATGTATACTTATTGCAAAATTGTAGATACTAAATCAGCCTAATGCTTGCAATATTGAAATATTGTTCAGGAAAGATATCCTAACAGTGGTTCTCAAAGCATAGTTTAGAACAGCATCAATCTCACTTAGGAACTTGTTAGAGATGCAAATCTCCCTCCCCTGTAATGAGAAAGAGGGAACGGTGGGGAGCAATCTGTGTTTTAGAAGGTCTCCAGATGATTCTGATGCAGACTGGAGTTTGAAAACCAGTGTCCTAGACAAACATTACGTAAATCAGGGATCATGTCCAGCTGTTAGTAATAGAGACTTGAGATGACAGTGGCTTAAAGCACATACCAAGTTTTTTCTTCCATAAATAAGACTGCAGGTAGGTAGTCTTGGATGATTCAGATGTCATATTTTCACTCTGTCCCTGCCATATAACTCCCATCCTCATGGTTTTAAAATGGTTGCTGAAATTTCAGCTGTAACAAACATTCTAGGCACAGGAAAAAGCAAGAGAGGTGGGGAGAAGGCAAGCTAGGTAAATTACCTTCCAGGTACACTCTTAGCTGTCTGTCCCACCCAGTGACTTAGGCTTAAAACTCATTTGCCCACCACCCCATAGTTGAAAGAGAAGTTGGGAATTAACAGCTGGTTACGTTGTTGCTCAGAATAAAACCAGGGATGCCAGAAAGAATGGATACTAGAAGAAACTAGCAACTTCTAGATCCTTCCTGGAATGGAGTCAGTCATCAAAGTTAAGCCTTTAAGAACATTATTCTGAAATAGCTCTTTACTACCCATGCATTAAAACATCATCTTTTATCTGCTAGAGGACAAACTACATACTTGTTTTAAGCAAAAGTCTTTGCTTACTTTGAGAATCTGAATAGCCATTTATCAGAATAAATGAATACAATTTATTTCACATAAGTAGAGGCTGTAGTTGTATACATCAACCAAGCATCCAACACGGTTTCTGAGAAGTTGATTTATAACAAACATACATGAAAAGCAATCAATTTAAAAATCCGTTCTCTTCAGTATTATAATTTCTGTCATGGAAATGCATCATAAGGAAGTAATTCAAGGAAAGCACAGCTGTATGTACAAAACTGTTCATAGCACTGTTATTTATGACAGCAAAAATAAATAAATAAATAAATTAAGTAGTTTACAATTCAAATGTCCTACAATAAAGTAGAGGCTGAGTGAATTGTGGTATGACCATTACATAGCCATAAAGACCATATAGCAACATGGCAGAGTGATTGTAAAAATATTGACAGTGGGGACAAAAGTCAAAACACGTGTATCTAGATAAGAGCATTCAGAGAACTATAGTGGTTTTGTTAGGATGTTAGAATTACGAATACACGTGGTTTCTGTTTAATTTCCTTTATTGTTCTATGAGAAACAACAAAGAACAAAACAAGAAACAAGAACAAAAAATAAATTTACCCAGGTTCCTGGCCATGATTTTCCCTGAGATTATTTTCTGGCTGTTTGTCTTATGCATGATTCAACGGAGGGTACTCCAGGAGGGTGTGCTTTGCTGCTCTGTGGGAAGGCTGTATGTAAGGCCAGGTGAAGAGTCTTCCTGTGGCTTTGGTGTGTCCATGTGGGTTGACAGCCTGATCATCTGTCTCTGAAGCTGTTTGTTTTACATCATCAGATTTTTTTTTCCAGTACTGAGAGCAAATTTACAATGATCTATTCATTCTCTCTTGCCACAGTTTCCTCATAATCAGTTTCATGAAACTAGAAGCCAATTGTCCCAGTTTAGATGTAGATTTGTAGGTGCCAATGGGAACAAAAAAATATGAAACTATGTAGGAATCAAATCAGTCTTTAATATGATGCTGTGTATAGACCTGCCTCACCACCACTGGCACCAAAAAATAGTCCCCGTTCCTGAAATTACTGTGGATTTGCACAGTTGTCCAGCTTGGTGAGAGCTAGAATTAGCCTTAGGTTGAGTACAGTGTTTATTTTTTTAGGTTGAAGATTACCCACATGCCCTTACTCCTCGAGATGGATTGAGATTTGTGAGTGAAATACGCAAGCCCCGGGCATATCTGCGTAGTAGGTAGGCTGGTGACTGTTACAGATTTAGAAATGGTGAAAGAAAAATGGCCAGGGAGCTTCTCAGGGGGTGGGGGTTGATGATAACAAATACTCAGCTCAGTAGAGCTGAGAGAACAGAGCAGAAGTTCATCAGGAATCCTCCACCAGCAAGGCCTGGGGACATTGGGGGTGTCTGTGCGCTCAAAACCAAGGCAGGAGTCCTTCAAAGAAAGGGATGGATCTCGGCTGGGCGCATTGGCTTATGCCTGTAATCCTAGCACTTTGGAAGGCCCAGGCGGGCAGATCATGAGGTCAGGAGTTTGAGACCAGCCTGGCCAACATAGTGAAAGACCATCTCTACTAAAAATACAAAAAATTAGTTGGGCATGGTGGTGGGCACCTGTAATCCCAGTTACTTGGGAGGCTGAGGCAGGAGAATCACTTGAACCCGGGAGGCAGAGGTTGCACTGCACTCCAGCCTGGGCGACACAGTGAGACTCCCTCTCAAAAAAAAAAAAAAAAGTAGAAAGGGAAGAATATTGATTTTCCAGGAAGTGAGGGACCTGAGATAAAAAGCTCAACCTACCCTACTGAAAACTACTTCCATAAAGTAATCAAGCAAACAAGAGTTTTACCTAATTAATCTTAGAGGAGAAACCAGCCTAAAGGAGGACGAAGACAGGGAAATCCTGGAAGACTCTTTGAGACTTTACCAAATTAAACGGCTAAAGTTCATGTGCCTATATTGTGTATAATACGCAGGCTGAATGTCTTTTACACTGAAGTGAAATTAACTCTGCTCTTTAAATACTGGGCAAGTGCCATAAACTGAAAGAATGTGGGGAATCAGCAAAACCAGAGAAAGGAAAGCTCATAAAGTCCAAGGGTTTGGGTTTTTGGAGCATATTTTATTTTACAATACCAGAGAATCAACATCTAATAGTAGCATAATACAAAATGAAACACCAATCTATTTAAAACTCTCATAATGGGAACTGTAGTTCAAAAATGATAAGAAAACATAGTAGGAGATTTAGAGACATGTATAAAAACTCTCATTTCATCATCAATGCAAACAAAAATCATTTATAATAACATACATAAGAATACATTCACTTACATTCACAAAGTGGATTATCATTTTTATTTTCCATGAAATATGTCAAAATATATGCAAGTATATCTTCACATTCTGAAAGGCAAGATAAATCTTCAAATTTAAGTATGTACATTTCACTTAAATTAACCAAAATATTAAAAATAGCAGCAACACTGGTCTTTAAATACGTCTAATATCACAAGAGATTGTTCACACAATATAGACTGTTTTGGTAGCTCTTTCATTATTAATATTGTTTAATATCCACATACCATTTAGAAACTCTAAGGTTCTGGTCTGATCTCTGAATAACTTAAAGTCTAGATTCAATAAATACGAAGAATAATTATAAAACACAGACTGCAGGACATTCTTAAGACCAGGGAGGAAATCATACCCAAAGGTTTTAGGGAAGAATCAGATATGAAGGCGTACAGGAAATCTGTAGGATTTCCAAGGCAAAAAGGTGTGATCTGACAAGCTCCCTGAAATGTTAACAGACTGAGTCCAGAGAAATGTGTGAATGTCTCAAAGGCACTTTCTCCGCTTCATCCTTCCATGTTCCCTTTGAATATGGCATTTAAGTGATGAACAACTTCGGAAATTTCCCAATAAACAGGGGATAGAATAAGTTCTCACCAGCAGGCAAGACACTGGATCAGGAGGTTATTTGTTTTCCAGCATTTACGTTTATTCTGATGACCAAAGCCATAAAAACCAAGATTTCAACAGGATCTCATGTATTTCATCCTAGATGGTGGGAAAAGTATCTGTAGCCCAATTCTCAATGTAAGTCACTGTACCAACCTGTAACCCTATTGGCTTAGAAAGAAACCCTAAATGGGGTTACAGGAGTTTCCTCAGATCTAGATTTGGTTACAGAAGTTGCCCCTGTGACTGGGGCCTCTTTTTATATTTCAATAGTTTTTCAGAAAAGGTAAATGTTTAAGTCTTTCAATGGGGTTGGACCTTTGTTTGCCTTATACTCCTACAGGTATCACGCTCTGACATTGAAATGTCAATAGTTTGTACCTATTTTCATACCACTTCATATACTATTTCAATCGATTCTCACACACACACAAAAAAAACCCCAAAACTTGTGTGGAAGAAGCAAGGATAGGCATCCAAGTGCTCATTTCAAATATCTGGAAAACTGAGGTTCATAGAGACCAAAGTGACTTACCTGTTCATGGTCACACACGAGTGAACTGGTATGGATCTTTTGCAGAACTTAGCTCTATACAATGTTTACTTATTCTGAAGAATGGGGCTTGGAAATAGTTATTTCTGAAGAATGAAGTAATTTGAAGGCGGTAAATAAAAAGGGAGAAAAATGAGTTCAAGAGAAGAAAGGCAACAAGAAGTGGTGTCAGTTGGCAGTTAGTATTATGAACTTTAAAATGAGCAAAGTGCATTTCACATTTAGAACACAGACATTTCAAAATATGTAATACTTAAATCTTCCAAATTGTCCTACTTTGGCCTTGATTTACTACATCTTTAAATTAATATCTGAGGCTACATCTTTATTTACTGAGGCTGCCATTGAGACATATGATGACCAAGAAATTTTTACATGAGTTCTACAATTTCCCAAGAGACTAGTGAAAATGTTCTCGCCTATTCTCAGAACACCATTCCTACCACATTTTACTTTTAGAACAATTCCATTACACACACGTGTGTGTGTGTGTGTGTGTGTGTGTGTGTGTATATTACTCATTTGGTGGTTTTCTCAAGTGTGGGGTTTAGAAAATATCCTTAATGAATATTCTTGCTGTGTCCTTAGGAAAATTAGTTTTTTTTGTTTTCCTCTGGAACTAAGCTGAGAAAAAGACTGCGAGAAACTTAGAGCTTTCATCACTTTAAATCTGGATTCCAGTTGGACAGTTGCCAGAGAAGAAAAAATTTTAAATGACTGTAACAATTAATTTAGAAAGCTGTCATATTTCACACAACCTTTTCAAGAAAGTTTAGTGACTCTTAGATTGATAGTTCCATAAAACAGAATTATAATGATTCCATAGAAAGTATTCCATTGTAAAGAAACTTATCTAGAATGATAACTTACAAATTGAAGACTTAGGCTTAATGTTCTGGTGTGCGACACTTGGAGCTATTGGTCAGTTCTTATTTTTAATCAGTAAATGCATTTTAAAGAAACAGTTGAACTAAAAAGGCCATTCATGATACTGTTTTGTAACATGATAAAAATATTGTATAAATCCCTTTGCTCCTCTTTAGGTACTACCTGTCCCAACCCATATCCTCACCCCCTTCCTGAACTTTCATACACTATAAATGCCCCCCAACAGTCTCCTCAACCCTGAATTAACCAAGTAATGCACCAAAAGGCAGATTATGCTTTGGCAAGCAGGAAATTGGACTATTCTTTGAGATTTTTCTGAGGTAGTGAGTCTTTTCTCCTCTGCTCTAATGGTTAAGAAATATCTTGGAAGGTAAGTTAAGAGACAAGTGGAGTGTTGGTCACAGTACTTAAACACTACTCTGAAATGGGTGGTTTATATGATCGGATGATTACTTCAGTAGAATCCTGACTGTTATGTGGAGAACTTAAAGATACCGAGATTGCCATGATGAGGATAAGCCACAGTCTCTAAAAAAGTGCTTGTCATACAGTTAGGTGCTCAATGATGTTTGAGGACTAACTGAAAGTTTAAGATCTCTGACTTAGCTCAGTGAGATTACAAGCAAAAACAAACATTAAAAAAACCTAGCCAACTGCAGGCTAATATCATCAATGGCTAGCTCACTTTCCCTTGTGCATGGAATTTTGGACACCTTTTAAAGTATGGGAGGACTGAGTTTAAACAGTATTGGGCATAGTATAGTGTTCAATTCCATACTGACTCAATTTATCACATACCCTCTTATTTCCATCCTGATTTTACTATCATGATGTGGTTGTGAGATTTCTATCCATAAATAACTTTTCTGAGGACAAAGTGATCCAGTCTCTCTGTTGTTCTTCAAGCTTTTCTGCCAAGCATTTAATCAAGATAGGGTCCACTTTAGAATCAAATTTATTAGCAAACCAATGTCCATCTTTGATAAGCCACCTTAATTCTGCAGCTCCATAAATACACACGCTTCGAAGGTGAGATCCAGTACAACCGGGATAGAAAAAGCCTTCGTAGTAATTCCACTTGACAAGGCGGGTCTTACTCTGCAGATCAGACACATCCTGGGCTGATCTGGAAATCTCCCCAGGTATTCCTGGAACCCGAATCAAGGTAGCCCAAAAGTGCTCATCAGGAGAGTATGTGTCTTTAGACCAGGCAAAAAAGTCTTGAATGACGGAGTTGTTGAAAATATATTTAACAAATGCTTGACTTAAAACAAAATAAGCACTGCCAACAAATATCTGAATGTTATGGGGCGGTGCTTCCTTGGAGACGTTTGTCCTTACTGGTAGCTTCACATACTCATAAGGTACCCGTCTGAGTTCATGATGGTAAGTGAATCTTTCCAATTTACTGTTCGGGGGTTTCACTGTCTCCAACATATTTGCTCCATTGAGTTTTTTCAACTCTGACACTAATTCAAAATTTGACTTCAGGGGAAAATCTTGCCCACACAGGTTGATAACATATTTCCACTGGACTGAAGACTTCAGAAGGTCCGACAAGCAATTTAAATCAGCTTGGAGTCTGGAAATGTGGGCATATTCCACAGCCTCTAATTTGGAAGCAATGAAAATATTGGAGAAGCACTTAGCTAAATTGTTCATGGCAACTTTGAAGGAATCAGGTGCCTTACGATCATAATGGATGCAGTAAATATTGTGCTGGTTGTATATAGCATGGATAAGCCTTTCAACCATAATCGCATCTTTGTGGACAACCAAAGAATAGGCTATTGGGAAGCTTTTCTCTTCCTTTGAAACAAGCTTTTGAGCATAACCTCTTAGAGTCTGATAAATGTCACAGTCACTAGTCATTGCCACAACATCATCATCCTCCAAGTCAATGATGTCCCTTCTTCTTATTTCCAGAGTCTTGCCAATTTCCAAAGGCTCCTGTTCATAGATACCCGAACAGTTAACTTCATACCTGACTTCATCCTTAACATGAGTGTATCTGTTTCTTACAAAAGGCGAGGTGCTTAGGGAGTACTCAACCAAGTAAATGTCTTTTTGCGGAAAGAGCCGTCTCACGTTTAGAAGCTTTAACAAGGAGAGCAGCCATAGGGTTAAAAACAGGATGAAAACTTTCTGCTGTAGGGTATGTTTAAAATAACATTTGAATATCTTCATTCTGTAAGAGGAGAAAGAAATAATCCAGTTGGAATATTAAGAGAAAATCACGTCAGTTTATCCAAAATCTACCACATACTAGGCAGAATGCTGGCCCCAAAGATGAATGAAACAAGGTTTTTACCCTTGAAAGAATCCAGAAATAAGCAGATGGAATTATGAAGAATGGTGGTATTTTGGGGGTATTCTGTGTTAACTATACCTAATTTTGAGAGATGTTGATTTCCAAATAGAAGGGAAGGTAATGTAAACTCCTAAAATATAAATATAGTGTGTCTTATATTGTCTGCATTTCTGCTTAGCATATTTGAGGAGGGATTGCTCTGGTTTGGGCAGAGGTCTAGAGAACTGGATGTCATCAAGAGGGCCTCAGAGAGGCAAAGGACTCACCTGAGGCCAAAGGGAACATTTGTCTTGATTCTACCTCTAGATCCCGATTAGATCCAGGTCTGAAGTCAAACAAGGAAAGCCCAGGGAACCCCACCTTCAGAAAGAAGGGTGGTGGGCAGACACCCAAAGGAGCTATACTAAGTATTAGAGACTGTAAAATGTATAGATAACAAAATTGGGTAAACTTGCATATTTTCCTTATTTTTTATTTTAGTAACACCCATTTCCACACAGGGATTAGCCATTTAGCCCTTAAAATAAAAAGGGCGTGATTTTTCACTGAGAGTAGTAGGTGGGGTGTAAAAACTACCTTGAGGGGGAGCAATTTGGCAATACCTGTTAGTTTTAAATGTACCCACCCTGAAGATCCCCTGTGTGTGCACAGTCAAGCACAAGGAGGTTCCCTACAATGTTTTGTATTCAGGCAAGACAGAAAATATCTCAAACATCCTTGAACAGTGCATTGATTAAATTACATCCATGCTATATTATGTGAAAAGGCCTGAGACCAATCTGCATGTACATGCCAATGGGGAACAATCTCTAAGTAATACTGTGAAATAAAAATAAGCAAAATGCAGAAGCATGTATAGTATGCTTACATGTCTATACATACAAAGAACATACACTAGCAAACTTTTTTTCTTTTTTGTTTTTGAGACAAGGTCTTGCTCTGTCCCCCAGGCCAGAGTGCAGTGGTACAAGCATGGCTCAATGCAGCCTTGAACTCCTGGGCTCAAGTGATCCTCCTGTCTCAGCCTCCTGAGTAGCTGGCACCACGGGTGTGTGCCACCATGCCTGGCTAATTTTTTCTTTAGTGGGGATGGAGTCTCACTATGCTGCCCAGGCTGGTCTTGAACTCCTGGTCTCAAGTGATCCTCCTACTTCAGCCTCCCAAAGTGCTGGGATTACAGGCATGAGCCACCACCCTCAGCCTAAACTTTTTCTTAAAGGACCAGGTAGTAAATATTTTTGGCTCTGTGGGCCATACTGTCTCGGTCACAACTACTCAACTCTGCCCGTTGTGGTGGGAAAGCAGCCACAGATTATATTTCAATGAGTGGGTGTGACTGAGTTCCAATAACACTTTATTTACAAAAACAGGCAGCTGGCTGCATTCAGCCCACAGCTGTAGTGTCTCCAAAAGGATATTGTATACACATGATGCTGGTAACAGGAGTTGCTTTGCAGGGTAGAATGGGAAAGGACTGAGGACTGGGGCCTAGGTAGGAGAAGGATTTACTTATCACTAAATATCTTGTAGTATCATTTGCCTTTAAAAATGATTATATTACTTTTTCAGATGAAAACAGGCTGACTGGGAGGAGGGTACAGATGTACTTATAGGGAGCAGCAAGAAGGGCAGCCCAGGAAGTACTAGCCCAAGGGTCCAGGACAGAAAGGCTGGCAGAGCTCCTAGGGCTGCTTCAGGAGGTTCAGATACTGAGAACTGGTGGGGTCTGAGTGCCCATGTGCAATTTCCTAACATATCTCAATAAACCTTAAATGGAAGATATAATCATTGTATCCAATTTCATTCAAGAGAATTGCCAAGAACTTGGAACCCAATTTAATTTTGTAGATTTCATCTATACAGACCAATTGACAAAACTCTGCCCTGGGAATGAGATCCCACCTTCCTCATTCACCTCCACTTAAATCCCTCTGTTTAAAGAACCACACCTTCACCACCATGAACTGTACTGCAGAATCTCACCTCTCCAGCCACATCTTGTCTCTCCTCTGTGGACTGCCTCAGGCTTCTATCCTCAGCTCACTTCTCTTCTCCTGCATACTTGCCCCCTATCTGTACATTCCACCTTCCACACTGATGCCTTTCCATATTCCAGCACCTTTCCCTCCAGCCCTCACATCTTGCCCAAGCCTCACAGGTGAACCTCCAGTTGCTGGATGGACATCACCGCCTGATATCCCGCAGGCACTCAGCCTCCATGAGTCCAAAACTGAACTCGACATCCTCACCTCACCTGCGTCTTCTATCTCAATATATGGTGAGACCATCCACTCATGGGCCATGTTTGAAACTAGAGTTACCCAACTCATCCATTTCACTCATACCCATGTTAACACATCACCTCATAAATGTGCCTCAAATTCATCATTTCTTCTCCATCCCCACTGCCAAGTCCAGACAGCATCTTTGCTGCATCAGCATCCAGGTTAAGAGACTCCTGGTCAGGCTCATGGCCCTGGGTCTCTTGACTGGTCTCAGCTTTTTGCTCCTCCAAAGCACACCGAACAGAGTCCCATCACTCAGGCTCAAGGCCAGGGTGCTTGCTAGTTGTTCTAAAGCTGTGGAAAACTGTCCCCACTCCCCTGCCCGACGCACAAGGGAACTCACTGCAACTCCAGAAGCCTGGGCACATGTGTAGAATTGGGTGTTGTGGTATAGTAGAAGACTAATCAGTCCCAAATAGGGATGTGTGTGTCATTGTCTTAATTCATGGTTATTAGGCATAAATAGCATGTAGCTTACAGAAATGGCTAGAACTGGAAGGGGTCTAACTCAAAGTAAATTTTGGCTATTTCTTTTCTCACTTTTAGTCCATGGAGTCTCTAATTAACGTTAGCACTTCCCCCTGACACCACAGTAGTAAAAAGAAAAGACCTCACATTCTAACGAGATTTACTAAGTCTTGCAGAGTTGTCATGTCATTTAACTATCATCTTCACACTTATATAAAAAGACCTGCCTTGTCACTCATTTCCAGGGCCTCTTCTGCATCCAGGCATCCCTGCCCTTCCTGAGAAGGCCTGGGGCACACACGATCTGACTCTATCCTGGTTGGGAGAGTCTGAGTTGAGCAGGAGGCCATGGTTGCCTGCCCAGAGACAGGTCACAGGACATCCAGGGAATGAAGAGGTGGGAGGCACCCAGTGAGAAGTCCTTTGGAAACTGGCTCTGGGGCCCACATCTGAGAACCAGGAATGACAGTGAATTTCAAAGAAAGAAGGGTAGGAAAATGGGACAGCCCCCGCACCTCGCTTTCTGACACACCTTTGCCCAAGGCATCTTTAAGGGGGAGAATTTGTGTTGAAGTCAGCTTTTGATATCCTTTGAAAGGAGCAGCCCTCTTCAATATTACCCTGTCCCAAATCAAAATAAAACCCCTTCACCTGCTTACCATGGCCAGAAATCCATTTATTTATTTATTTATTTATTTACTTACTTACTTACTTACTTTCTTTAAGTTCTGGGATACATGTGCTGAACATGCAGGTTTGTTACATAGGTATACATGTGCCATGGTGGTTTGCTGCACCTATCAACCCATCATCTAGGTTTTAAGCCCCACATGCATTAGGTATTTGTCCTAGTGTTCTCCCTCCCCTTGCCCCTCACCCCCCGATAGGTCCTGGTGTGTGTTGTTCCCCTTCCTGTGTCCATGTGTTCTCACTGTTCCCTGGTGTGTGTTGTTCCCCTTCCTGTGTCCATGTGTTCTCACTGTTCCCTGGTGTGTGTTGTTCCCCTTCCTGTGTCCATGTGTTCTCACTGTTCAACTCCCACTTATGAGTGAGAACATGCGGTGCTTGGTTTTCTGTTCCTGTGTTAGTTTGCTGAGACTGATGGTTTCCAGCTTCATCCATGTCCCTGCAAAGGACATGAACTCATTCTTTTTTATGGTTGCACAGAAATACCTTTAACTGAAAAGCATTCCTTTCCCCAAAGAGGTGCGTAGGTGCAAAGCCACTTGGTATGGAGTTTTTGTCAAGTCTTAAAAGGGGATGTTGGCCTCTTCCCAGCTGCGGTGGGCACTAATAGTGAGGGGAATGCTGGCAGGAGGTTGGAGAGGACTACGGGTCCCCAACCTTGGTTCAGCTGGCTTTGGCTTCCTCTGAAAAAAACATCTGCAAACACCCTTGGGCCCCTCCCACTGGGCTCTGCAGGGGGTACACCCCCAGAGCAGCACAGCCCCAGGGGACACAAGTTGCAGAGGGTGGAAGAACCAGGTCTGACCAGAGTCAGCTGGGCTAAGGCTGGCTGTCACATTGGCCACATGGTTCCTGGGAGACCAGGCTAGCAATGTCACTTTCTGCAAACACCACACCCAGCACTTTCCCTCTTAAAGGTTTATGGGCAGGAAGTAGGCAAATGTTTTGCTGCCAGGAAGTGGTCTTACAATTACATTACAAATAACGCCCCACCCACGGGAGAAGCAGTATTTCCCCTTCTACCTTCCCGGGTAGTCAAGGAGGTCTGACCTGTTGCAGAGTTTATTGCCACATAGGCGCAAGTTCCTAGTGATGACAGAACTGAAAAAACTGTAGTAAGGTTTGATGGCTATAACTCAGGTGAAATATGGTCTATAATAATTCAGTAAAAACCTACTCCTCACTAAAGTCCCAATAGGGATGTTGAATGAAGCATTTCCCTCAAACCATGTTCTTCTCCCAACCCATCCAGGCATTGTTGGAGCCTTCAAGGAAGCAGCAAGAACACAGAGGTGCACCCCAGCTAAGTGGACATGACCGCATTCAGGGATACCCCAGCTAAGTGGACACGATCACATTCAGGGACACCCCAGCTAAGTGGACATGACCGCATTCAGGGACATCCCAGCTAGGTGGGCACGACTGTATTCAGGGCTAAATGGCTACAACCATTAGCGGCTCTTCAACTAACTCTTCTTACCTTAGCAATTAAAAAACCCAGGACTGTCAAAGAAGTACAGATGCTTCCTTTCCCAGGGAAGAAAGGGGAATGGCACATCAAGAATGGGAGGGAGATTGAGGAGAAAAGAACTGAGTAAGGTTGAGTTTAGGGATTAAGAATGCCTGCGCTTTTTTCAGGAACAGGTTGTGGGGCACTGGGGAGAGAGGAAGAAAGGATCTGGGTTCAGGATGCCACAGACCTAGGGCTTGAGTCCCTGGACGAACACTTAGTAGCTGTAAGACTTTGATCAAACTATTTAAGCTCTCTGAAGGCCAGTTTTCTTGTTAAAAGTGGGGCTGGACTGCTCTGGGAAAACGTGGCCAGACTGCTTTTTAAAGCAGCTCCATGATCCTGTTCCTCCTCACCGGGCATGACCTCCCAACTGGGGTCTCCAGCTACCCCCACGCTGGTGCTTTCTGGCTGACAGAGGTTTCAGACCTCCCTGGGATGCAGCTCCCAGAGGGATGGGCAGGCCGCCATCTTTGCTGTTTTGCAACTTCACTGTTGATACCTGCAGGTACTGGAAAATCTGAGATTAGGGACTTCACGGCTTCTTTAAAGATCCGGCCCAGACCTGTGGCTTACTGTCCTGTTTTTCAATCTACCTCCTATTTCTCCACAAAGTCTCAACAAATTCAGTATTTTAGAATTAGTGCCTGAAGGCCTCCATGTAATGCGCTTTATTAATTTTATGGATATTCATCCCTCAGTATATACAGAGGATTCATTCCAGGGCCCCTGTGGGCCCTAAAATCTATGCACACTCAAGTCCCACAGTCAGCCCTGAGGAACCTAGTATGGGAGAAGTTGGCCCTCCATACATGTGAGATTTGCATCCTGCAAATACTACATTTTCAATTTGTATTTACTTGAAAAAAAAAAAAAAAACCTGTGTATAAGTGGACCCCCTGAAGTTCAAACCTGTGTCGTTCAAGGGCCATACTGTAGTTATTATTAATGTAGAATCATTCAATAAAGAGTTGTCACTAGCAGCACTGTTCTAAGTACTCTAGATGTAATTCAGTCCCCTCAAGAGATCGATGAGGTAGGTACTACTGTTATCCCTCTTTTATAAGAAAGGAAACTGAGGCACTGTAAGGCAACTAAATAAATGCCCAAGGTTACAGTTCTAGAAAGTGTTTTAAATGGAACCTGAACCCAGAGAGTCTTGCTCCAGACTTGCACTTTTAACCCTTTATGCAATACTGTCTCTTGGACTATAAAGAAAAAATTCTCCGTATTTCCCGCAACAGTTTTAGCACTTGAGTAAATTTTCTCATTACCATGTCTTCTCTAAATGTCCTAGAACAGGAACAGGAAGGGACTCCAAACATGGTCGAGGAGATCTTCCACCCTGTTTAAGAGGTGATTTCCATGGAGAATGAGCCTGGAGGAATGCTGGGTGAGGAATCACATTCCGTTTCTGTAGTCAGAGGCTGAGACCCATCAATGAGCTAATGAAGAGATTAGTCAGTCTTCCAGCCCATAGAATCAATTCAAGGAAGAGAAAGCAAGCTCATCCTGAGGGATTCTGCCATCAGTTACTCCTGTCCCGTATCCTGTCACCGATGACTTTATCGATTCATTTGTTCTTACAGTTATCTGTGACACAATTTAAGCACAGAGAATTGCTAATTGTTTTAGAAAACTTTCCGGGTGAAATTTCTCTTCATGCGGAGAATATTCCCTCTTCAGGCCACCTTAAAGTTCTTAAACTTTGTATTATTACATATCAGTTTGAGAAATAGGATATGAAGAGCTTATTGATCTAGAAATATCAGGGATTTTGCTTCTATCTAAAGCCTTACTAAGAAGAATCATCAGTTAAGAAGATCAATATAAAGACAAACTCATTAAAAAGCATCCTGATCTAGTTGAATAAGCTAACATCCTGCTACTAGAGCTCCTTGATTTCAATGAAGTCACTGATTCTCCCTTGGTGACTCGCTCATTGCCAAGCCCAGGGGATGTTCTGGAGTGAGACCATTAGGTGGGAGGATGATTCAGTCAGATGCGGTTCCTCGGCACTCCCACAGCACTCCAGGAGTCATGCAGAGGAGCAGAAAGACAAGTTTCTTGCCTAGATGACCTTATATTCTTATTGTTCTAGAGGAAAGATTGCAAAAGCAAGTAATAATCAGATTGTGAGCAGGTAAACATAGCAACTATGTAAAACACAAGGAGAGGTGTGACTCAGTCAGAAATCCAACACAAATTGAGGACAAGCATTTCTCAAATAATAATAAGATATGGCCTCTAAAAGGAAAAGAAAAAGATTTTCCATTCCCTTTTATAAAGTAAACACTTTCAGGCCGGGCACAGTGGCTCACACCTGTAATCCCAACACTTTGGGAGGCTGAGGCAGATCGGCCTGAGTGCAGATGACTTGAGATTAAGAGATCGAGACCAGCCTGGTCAACATGGTGAAAATCCGTCTCTACTAAAAATACAGAAAATTAGCCGGGTGTGGTGGCGCGTGCCTGTAATCCCAGCTATTTGGGAGGCTGAGGCAGGAGAATTGCTTGAACTCAGGAGATGGAGGTTGCAGTGAGAAGAGATCATGTCAGTGCACTCCAGCCTGGGCAAGGCAAGATTCAGTCTCAAAAAACAAAACAAAACAAAACAAAAAAACCAAAAAACCAAAACCCAAAAAGCAAAAAACAAACAAAAAAACCAAATCACTTTCATAAAAAAAAAAAAAAAAATCAGAAAAGTCCAAAAACGAACATAAAGCTCACCAGGGGCCCATCACCTGGCAGTAACATTTTGTAGACAGTATGTCCTTCCAGACTGGTTTTAAGAAACGCATTTTTTTTTTGGCTTTGCTTTATAACAGTATCACTAGATAGGCACTGTCTTATCTATTTCTTTCATTTCACAATATACTATGAACAAGTCCTAACCTAAACTGGGTCTGTCAATTATTACAGAGTAAACAAATCCTAACAGAGGTAAACATACTTTTCTACAGGACAAAAACCATTCAAATAATATAATTCATGTATCTAGGTCTTCTCCACCAATGCTTAATTAATAAAGCCACAGTTCCTGAAGAAGCCCAGAAGTGCACTATTAAAACTGAAAATAACTTTAAAGGTGATTGAGCCCATATTTCTTCTCCTCTAAATGTGCCTAGCCATCATTTAACCCCATCTCATTCCTGGGGTGCTGGGAACACCTTTCCCCCTTTACATATGTGTCTTGGTTCATTCCTGCTGCTATAACAAAGTATCTTAGACTGAATTGTTTAGAAACAATAGGCATTTATTTCTCGCAGTTCTAGAAGCTGAGAAGTCCAAGATCAAGGCATAGATTTGGTGTCTGGTGAGGGCTGCCCTCTGCTTCCAAGATGGTGCCTTGCTGCTGTGTTCTCACATGGCACAGGGCAGAAGGGGAAAGGGCGGGGAGGGGTGAATGAGCTCCCCCAAAACATCCTTTATAAGGGCACCAGTCCTATGCCTTAGGGCTCTACCCTCATGATGTAATCACCATCTATAGGCCCCACTTCTTAATACTCTCACACTGGTGATTAAATTTCAACACATGAATTTTGGGGAACACAGACCATAGCAATATGGACAGAGGAGGGATGCCCAACCGCCCCATTCAGGTCCCTCACAGTGGCATTCGGTCCAGCCTGGCTCCACTCCCCACTCCATGGAGCCTGCTCTGGCTGAAGTCAACAAAAGCCTTCATGTTGCCAGCGTCAGTGACACATACCTGTCCCTTCCTAGTGATCAATGCTAAGAGATAGCACTATTTGCATGATCTTATTCAATGTTCTTTTTTTTTTTTCAGACAAGGTCTCACTCTGTGACCCACGCTGGAGTGCAATGGCACAATCTCGGCTCACTGCAACCTCTGTCTCCCGGGTTCAAGCGATTCTCCTCTCCTGTCTCAGCCTCCCTAGTGGCTGGGATTACAGGCACCCGCCACCATGCCTGGCTAATTTTTTTGCATTTTTAGTAGAGATGGGGTTTCACCATGTTGACCAGGTTGGTCTAGAACTCTTGACCTCAGGTGATCCACCTGTCTCGGCCTCCCAAAGTGCTGGGATTACAGGCATGAGCCACCACACCCGGCCTCTTATTCACTGTTCTTATACTCCATTCAATTATCCTATACTCCATTCAGTAAATCTATGAGATAGGTACGATTATCATTATCCTCATCTTTCAGATTGAGAAATCAAGTTAGAAGATAAATAACTTACCTTAGTTCATATAGCTAGTATATTGGAGGAGCAAGGATTTTCAACTATGGTCCAATTTTCAACTATGGTCCAATTTCAGAGCCTACACCACTAAACACAATTCGAGACTGCCTTTCCAGTCTCCTGGCAGTAGTAGCACCTGTTGGTTCTACATCCAAAATGTATTTCAAATCCACCCACCTCTTTCCACTCCATGGGAACCACTCTAATCCAAGCTAGCATCAACTCTTACCTAGATACAAAATAACCTTACCTGGCTTCCCTTGCTTTCCTCTAATCCATTCTCTGTACTGTAGCCAAAATGATTTTTTAAACATAGAAATCAGATCACTGGCCCTCCCTAATCCCACTCCCTACCTCTAAAACCCTTCACTGGGATTTCACGTCACGTAGAATAAAACAAGAAATGCTTTTCATGGCCATAAAGGCTCAGGCAGTTCCCATGGCTGCCTTACTCTACAAGTTCATCTTATTCTACTCTGTCTTTCTCATAAAACTCTAAGCAACACCAGCCTTCTAAAAGTTCCTAGAACATCCTAGTCTCTTCCTTGCCTCAGGACCTTTGCACCTCCTGTTCTCATGTCTAGACTACTTATCCTGGATCCTGGCATGACCAGGTGCTCCAGGAAAAGAAATAGATTTTCCTCAGGTCCTCTCTGATAACTCTTTTGTTTTTGAGAGAGTCTCGCACTGCCGCCCAGGCTGGAGTGCAATGGTGCGAACTCGGCTTACTGCAACCTCTGCCTCCCAGATTAACCCTTCTTAAATCTCTCTCCTATCACACTCCTTGTTTTCTTCTGAGCACTTGCTACAAGGAATAGTTACTTCACTTGTTTATTACCTGTCTTGAGACAGAAACATAAGGTCTGTGAAGGCCTCACTCACTACTTTACCCCCAGCACTGAAGACATCCATACCTGGCACAGGGTAGTTGCTCAGTGGGGCAGAGTCAGAAGACCGAAGCTCTAATCTAGGCTCTGCCACCAAAAATTCTTCAAGTGACACTAGCATATCACTTAATCTTGGCAAGTCTTTCTTTCCCAAGTGTTAAATGGGATAATGTTTTTCTATCCCACAGTGCAATTGTGAAAGTCTTATGATGTAATGCATGTGAAAGCCATGGGGAAAAAGACAACTTTGGTATGCAAATGTCAGGTATGAGGACCTCCACAAGAGGAATGGTTACTTAGGAAAACTGAGAAAGAGTCAACATGTTATAAGTTGGTTTTACTTTTCTAAAACAGTATGTTCATTATTCTCTTCATTCTGACATTCTAATTATTATTGGGTTTTCACTACTTGACAGCATTCTTTTTTGTTAATATCTGGAGTATAAATTGTTCCTAAAGTTTCAGAATTATGTACACATACACCTGTCTTGGATTTTGAGAGATAGGAAGCAATGTAATTAATCTTTATAGTTGTTTTTCTCCCCAGTATGCTCAATATTTTTCAAAAGATTAATAACCAAAAAATTTATTTAAAAGACAGCCAAGAGCACATACAACTAGTTTCATGCAGAGTTACAACTGGCTAAACACGGTCTGTAAGTTTATGTGTTGCAAAAGCTATAAACTTTTCCCATAAGTCCATTATCTTTTATGGGCCATTCTCCAGATATTGCAAAACTACAAAGACTTGTTCTTGCATCCTTGTTTGGCAAAGTCATCCCTAAGGACCATGTAACCCACAAAGCAGTACTGAGAATTCTGCAGTAATGTGAATACACCAACACACACTCATACAGGGCCTTTGCCAGTGTTCTGTCACTCAAATCAAACATCAATGAGACTGGCTCAGCTCAGTGCATTGGGATGCCCTCATCTAAAGGAGCTCTGTTTGATGTCCCTGCGGAATGTATGACGACTGACAGCTTTCTCTCTAGGCCTGCAATTATGAACGTCATCATCTTCTTTAAATAAAGGACTACTTTACCTGCAAGATTTGGAGAATAGAGACTTAAAGGAAAACACTGAGCATGAAAATAATTCTATCAACAACCTCTATAGATTATAATTCTTCTAGCTAGAAACTTTACTGGATCCTCTCACATTTGGGCAGAAATAAGGGACCTGTAAGATTACATGGGAAATGAGCAACCCACATCAAGATGTATATACTCAGGCATAGACCTCTCAAGGTCATTGGAAATCTGGGCTGTAGCGATGTAACAACAACAACAACAACAAAAGCACAGAATTCAGCCACGGTCACACCAATTGGGAAACAGTAGACTTGATTCTGGGCTTTATTTCATCTGGTCCACCGGGCAAATATCAAAAGCTGATTGTGTGTGTATCTAGCTGGGCAAAGCTACATGGCTAAAAAGTCTTTAGCAGGAAGTGTAAAGGGCCACTTACAATGAAACTGAATGAAAAGTTTTTGTTTTGTAATAGATTGTGACCCTCAACAGGGAGTAAAACATTAACAGTTTTTCTCTAAAGAAAATTCTAAAAAATATCAGAAGATGGTGAATTTCAAAAATAGTTATGCCTTCAAATTTCAGTTTGATGAAAAAGCTCACATGAAATGTTTGCTTCTTTTTAGATGTAAAGGATTATGAAAAAGGGGTGAATGAATGAATGCATTAGATCTTTGCCTCTCAAGCTTTACCAAACAAAGAGGTTTCATTCCTTCTTGGGATCCCCATCTTCTCTGCCCTTCTTACTTAGCTTGACACAACATAAAGCCAAACTACATTTTATGTTCCAGGTTCTAAGTTAAAAATATGGGTTGAGAATATTTTGACTTCTTTTTCTATAAAGTAGAAAAACTGAATTGAAAAACATGTCTATTTTTGAAAATGTATATTTATTGTACTAAAAAGAAAATAACTTTCTCCATCTAATATCTACATGGTATGCTTTTTTCCCCCTCAGAAATTTTTGGAAGC